TGTCACTCAATGCCGCTTGTGCGTTTGAGCTGTTTCCATCGGCTGGCGCTGAACGTCTTTTCGCCGTTTCGCTGTACAGCAGTGAAAGTGCGTCGCCATGCATTGTTTCGATGAGCTGCAGGGCCCGTTTTTTCTCGAACCAGTCATCCAAACGGATCAACAGATCAAGCAGTTCGACGTCAATTAAACCCATTGCGCTCTAAACAAAATAACTATAAATCGAAATAGCTGTAAGTTTCGATGTCAGTGAGTAGCATCCACACACTAAGCCAGACCCTCTTGCTTAGTAGTACTTCTTGTCTTGAGCAGCAAGATCCGTTACGTTAGAAGTTGCTGAAAGCCAACTGAGTCGCCGTTTTGTTGTGCATATAGCACTCATCGCTGCATACGTTCATTTCCCAGCTTAGACAACAACATACGTTGCCCAGTGAATTTCAGTTTCTCTCATGATCGACGAGTACCACATACACCAATTATATGACGAGCATTGCATCCTTGGAGATAAAATCAGACAACTGTTTTCATTATCAGCGAGCCATAAATCATTAATTTTAGCAAAACAAATAAAACACCTCCACTATCTTTAATGTTTTCGAAACACTCGCAACGCAGTAAAATTTCTGCGCTGCTGGCCGCCTTCTACTCTTCAGCCTGCAGTTGAACAGATGCATAGTTACCGCTCTTCGCTCACGTGTACCTTACTACCAAGTTCTTCTGAAATAAGCAGTGAGAGTCCGCAACACTGCCGACGGTACGTCGTTGCTCTGCATCACTGTCACTTCCGTCCTCAGTTTTTAGACCACCTTTCTAGCTTCGAATGTTGAGCTCCAACAGCAGATTGTTCATTTCGCCAGCAATAGGTGCAATAAAAATACCAGCTATTAAGCGTAAATGGCTTCGCGCATCATCACTGATGCTGCACTTCCACACCAATTCAGTGTCAAATCGCTGATCACGGAAAGCTTCGGTCAAGAGGCTGTCCCATCTCCCGTTGAAGTGACGAACACTGCTACGTCGGTACACCAGTACAAGTTCGCTTCCCCGAACAGTTCGACATATATATTATTTTCCTCACAAGATCCAACAGCAGTTTCCCATTTCAGCACAGCGCTGTCAAGCAATTCTTTATTTTTCAGTAGCCTAACTGCATCTGCGCTCTTAAACAATCTCTCGGTTCAGTAGCGTGGTTGGAAGAACAAATAAGACACAGGGGCCCACATCCATTCCTTGATTTCAAATTTGTTCTCATGTCGCATCTTATACACGTGAATTGTTTTGCTTAATGTGAATACTGCAAGAATTTCACTTGTTTGCTATCCGCTGTCTTGTTTAGAGTATCCTGGAAGACCAAATTTGCGTGT